GAGGGAAGGTGGGGTAGTAAGGGGGAACCGATTACAAAGAGCTACATATAACCCCTCCCTGGGGGATGGGCAGCAGAAAAGTGGGTGAAGAGAGATGTCAGGCAGTGTAAGACATTACAAAATAATAATAATTTATAAATTATCAAGGGTTCATGAGGGAGGGGGAGTACAGAGGGAAGGGAAAAAAAATAAGAGTTGATATCAAGGGCTCAAGTAGAAAGAAAATGTTGTGAGAATGATGATGGCAACAAATGTACAAATGTGCTTCACACAATGGATGCATGTATGGATTGTGATAAGAGTTGTATGGATCCCCAATAAAATGATTTTAAAAAAAGATCGCAAACAGCCATGTAAGGTATAATTATCACAGTTGTTTCTCATCTGGAACAATAGAGAAATAAAAAAATCAAAGATCAGAGAAGAAACTAGTCTATAGCACTAACAGTGTACAGGAATCACCACCTTATATACCCTGAGACGAGAAGAACTAGATGGTGCCTGGCTATAACTAACAACTGTTCTGATCAGGGCTACAGTAGATGGATCCTGATGGAATGGGAGAAAATGAAGAACATAAATCAAATTCTTAAAAAATTCAGACTTAACTGCATTTGTTGAGACTAGCATCTCTCCCTAAGACTATCACCTTGAGATACTCCTTAAACTTTGAACTAAAACTACCTTTTAGCTAAATAATAGATTGGTTTATAAAATAAAAGGTATTACCTTTGAGTACTGCATGCCTTTAAAAATCACCTATATAAGACCAAGTGTTCAAAACTTACTCTAAAACAGATTAAATAGTCAGGGAAGAGGGAAACCAGGTTATTGGAAATTTAAAACCATTAATAATAGAATTAATGAGAATGCTGACACATAGTAAAAAACATAAATGTCACCAATTTGTGCAACAGTAAATGGGAATCTAATTTGCTGTGTAAACTTCCACTGAAAACACAATGAAATATTCTTTAAAAAAAACAAAACAGAACAAAAAAAGAATTGAACATGTGGATTAGGTTGCCAATAAAAATGTGAAAAAGAAACAGTATATTAAGTACAGATTGTGTCACTTCTCTATTGTCAGTACATACGCTCTTCAACTTAATGGAACTCATTTTATGCATTTTGTCAGCCACCTTTTTGTCTTCAGTTGTAATCTAAGAATCTCAGGAAATCAGGGTCCTTTCCCATTTGCTCTGCTTAACTGTGTTCTCACATCAGTAAAAAACTCACTCAAATCGTCCACAAGGTACCAACTCAATTTATAGAACCTAACAACAAACAAACCATAGTCATGTGCTGTACTTAATGCCTAAAACACTCTTCACCTTTTAATTCTTATTTATACTTTAAGACCTAGCCCAGGCTATACTAAAAAAAACCAAAGGCACTGCTATAGAGTCCATTCTAACTCTATAAAATAGGCCCTGTGGGTTTCTGAAACTGTAAATCTTTATGGGAGCATGACCATCTTTCTTCTGTGTAGGAGCTGGTCGTTAGCAGCTCAATTTGTAATCCACTCTGCCACCAAGGATCCTTTTAGCTTAGGCTGTAGCTCCGCTAAGCTTTCAGATTAAGTTTCCCCCACTTCAAACCAAGACAGCTGTGTCTTCTCTACTCTCAGTTCCTCCCCCAACCCCATGCCTAGTTGCTTCAAGAACACACTTTTTTTTGTAAATGCTTTTTAAAACTTGGATGAAATCTTAAATCCTTTTATTTCTGATTCATCATTTTACAGTCATTTTAAGAATAAAAAGTGATACACAGTCATCATGTATCAAAGAGAAACAGATCTCTGTAAAACACTTGAAAACAAAAACATTTCAAATTCAATCTATGCATATAAACATTAAATGTGTTTGCAAGTGACTCTCTGAATCTATAGAGTTGTGACTATATGTAAATCAACCAACGTCTCGTTCAAGATGGTGAGGGTGAATGGCTTGCAGCTGTAAAGCTAATTTTATGTACTGAACAACAATCTTTATCTTAAAAACAGCTTATCAATAGTCTGTCTGGGACCTCCAGAACCCACATTCCATAAAAAATGGCAAACGTTAAAAAAGAAAGAAACGGTATAGTTCATCCTATTTCAAGAACATTTAATTACCATATAATGTGTGTATATGTATACACATGAATATAACTCTATGCTGAACATTTTTTCCCCAATGACAGCTCAGAATAATACATTTTATACAGCATGTACAAATTTGTGACCTTGCTAAATCTAAATAGGACAAGGTACTCTGTTGGTCAGTCATGCCTTAGTTTTAAACATTGTTAAGCGGGAAGAATAAGAAGGGATGATTGGGGAAGAACGTAAAAGACTTGACTATTGTGTGTGACAGGAAGTAAAGTAACAAATCAAATATTTAGTTAGAAATAATTTTTATTTCTTTCTAAATAAGGTAGGAAGAAGTGCTCCTACCTATTCTACTTAAAAATTCTCTTGCATTAATAAATTCTTCTTCTAAAGAGCAAACAGTCCCATTCCCTATTGTGGTAGGTAGGTTTATTGTGCCAACTTGGCCAATGAACTGAAGGGCAGAGAGATAAATGGCTCCGTGACTGGACCAGTGTGTGGCTGCCTTAGCTTGTTCTCTGCCTCAATTTGCAAGCTACACTACTTGTGGGACACCTAACCTGTGGACTGTATCGCTATAGTTTGAGGTTCCTTCAAGACCTACTTCGCCATGCTACTGGAGTATACATCACTTGAGCTGGGGACTGTTGGACCCTGTCATCTGGCTGAATGTTAGTGATCTACCTTGCTGTTTGCTGCCTATAGCTGGATAGCTGGAATTGCTCTACAGAGGATTACCCGGCAGCCCTCAAGACTTGAAGGACTGCCAGTGTATTAGCTGTATCATGGAAGTGAGTTGCACTGAGCCATTTGTACTGCTCTACAGATTAATTAACTTTATTTCATATATATATATATAATTATTAGTGTCCTGGTTTTGTTTCTCTAGAGAACCCTGTCTAACAAACCTAGCAAGACTATGAGAAACTTCACTTAAAATTAGAAAAATTTTCTCAATTATTCAGCTTTGACTAGGCATTACTAAAAAACATAGAATTCATGTACTAAGCAAAGAGGGTAGAAATTGGGTTTATTTCTTCAAGGCTACACAGAAAGTATACTAACAAAATCGAACAACCATTGTTGACAGACACCTTACTGCATCAAATAACTGATTAAAATCTTTATTTTTTTACCTGGAATGTCGGAGGCTGTCCTTTTTATTTTTTGCAGAACACAATGTGCACTCACAGCCAACTGCATGGGGCTTGGGTAGAGAAACATCTTGCTTTAAAAGCATTGTAAGAATTTCATAGTTGTTACGATGAGCAGCTAAAATGACAGGTGCCACATCCATAGTTGTTGAATACTCAGGATTCTGAATCCGTTCCATTAGTTTCTGAAAAATATATATACAAATGTCCAAAAATGATTATTTGAGGCCTTAAGAACATATGTTTATCTGAAGAATGAAATAAGGAGAAAAATATAAGACAAAAAGAATTTAAGTATTGTTCTAAGGAATAAAACATTTGATTGAGACTAAAATTTAAAAGAATCCCCCAAATTTTAACTAAAAGGCAATATTACCATTACAGTACTGTTTTCCTAACAAAGAGGAAGTAAGGATAGGTAGAGAAATATTTTAGGAAAAAGTGTTTAATTTCCACAAGAGCATGGGAGCATGCTTAATGGCAAGGATAAGGATTAGAATTTTAGAAAAAAGAATATAATGAAAAAATAGAGATGTTAAGAAAAAATGGGAAGAGTATAAATATATGAAAAAATTTTCAAACACTGCCTCTATGAAAAACCTTGTCACAGTGAGAGCAATGAAGCTATGTGAAGGGTGTAGTAAACAGGAACTATTCCTCATTCTGTATAATTCTCTGTACATTCCCAGTAATTGCCTGCACTACTTTCCCTGCTTTAGATCCACAAAAGCACTAGCACCCATAGCTACCATTTGATGAGTCTATTTATCATCTCATTTAATCCCCTGAAAATTGAGTGCTTTAATCCCTGCAAAGAAACTGAGGCTCAGAGAAATTAATGTGCCCAAGCCACATAATGAAGAGGCTGAGTACTGATCAGAACCACACTCTGATTTACTCTGGAGCTTGAGCAACTCCCCCTTCAGGGACCTACGGCCCAGACAGCATGACAAGAGGAAGAGAAACATCAGGGATGAGAGGATCAGAGTCAAATAAAAAGACTGGATATTTTATGACTACTGCATATTCTTTCCACACTTCTCACTTTTTCACTGAAATATACCCGAGAGCTATTTGATTCCATCCTGTAAACACAGTAAGTTCACTTTTCTGGTATGTGGTAATTTTTGTTAGCATTGTAAAAGGCATGTGAAAAGCACTCCAAGTGTCTGAAAATAAATACAAATATCTATATATTTACTATGCAAAGAACATTAAAAACATGGTATTTCTTTCTACTCCATTCTTGACATCCCCCTCCCGCCCTTTTAAGGCAACTTTTTGTATAAGGGGCAATTTTTCCAAAAATCTATGATTAGAAATGATAGATTGTAATATTTTGGGGATCATGAGCCTTTTCAATTATTTCATAAAGCTTTAGTCCAGGATGATCAGGGAAATGCAAAGAACGTTAAGTGTCATTTAAGATCCTGTATCCAAGATATTTTATTTAGTTAATTTAAATAACACTAAAGCAAACATCACAATAACTATGAGAATGGACAGGAATGGGCAGTCTTTCATTTTGTTGTCAAAGCAACTCACAGGTTTGCTATGAGTTGGAGCCAACTCAACTAATAAGAACAAAGGGCAACCATTTTATAATGCAACTTTTTCCAAATTGGGGATTATTTTATTAACATAGAGCCTGGAGGTGGAATTAGGCCTGAAAAATTCTGAAGCTTTTGATATATATTGTCAAAGGCTTTTTAATAGTTTATAGTACCAGTATATAGTCATGCACCCATTTTACACAAAAGCATCACTTACCACGGGGGGGGGGGGGGGGGCATGATCACTCGCAATTTGATGATGGAAACTTATGATCATTAAATTTTAGTTGGATTTTCTTTGATTACTGGTAGGTTTGAATATTTTCCCAGGTACTGACTAGTTTTTCCCTCTCATGATTAGTTTTAAAAATATATTTGACCATTTATTTATTAGGGCTCCCAATCAGTGAGTTTATTTGAAAATTTTAGTAATTATAGGGTTTTTCCCCTTTTTTATTGCATTATAGATCATAAAGAAGAGTATATTTAATTCCTTAAAAGAAAAATGGCCCTAAATTTTCCCATGAGATGCATTTAATGAAACATTTTTACTATAGATGCATGTAATTAAAGTTCATAATTTCATAACTCATAATCTGTGTACTCCCAAACATGCTAATTACTCAAAAGACAATTCTGCTAAGCCAGAAATACAAGAAGAATTCACTGAAGTGGTTAAAAAAAGTATATTAAAATGTTTTATATTGCCTGTCTAGAAAAACACAGAGCTGTAAAAAATGTGATCTCCCTGTCATTTTACATATTCAAGCAAAGACTGGGTAATCTGTATTTGTTACTTATGTCTTCACTGAGTGGTTAAGAAACAAAAGACCAAGACCCACTGTCATCGAGTCAATTCCAACTCACAGGACCTCCCTGTAAGAGTCAATTAGCAATGATATTTTCTTCACAAAAGCAGTGCCCCTGATGGGTTTGGAACACTGAAATTTCATTTAGCAACTGAGTACTTTAGCAGCTGTACCACCAAGACGCCTTTCAGTAGTGGTGATGAAATAATGCCAGTCAGTGGCTACAATAGCCCACCCAACTCTTCATCCCACAAAACTAAACAAGTCAAAAGGCTAGAACTGCAAGGACATCATTTTATAAAATACATGATATGTAACAGAAATGGAATAGGATTCTATTATTCTGGTTCATTATAAGGAGCTATATTCTTAGCCAATTTTGCCAAATTGCTTCCCAAACTACCAGTGTTATATGGGACTGTACAACAACCTCGCTATTAATAATAATAATAATAATTCTTTTTTTAATCACTACTAATGAGATAAGCAAAAACTAGTATTGTATTAGATTTAATAGGAAGGCTTAATATTTTACACTTTCTTTTCTGAAGTTTTTTTTTAATGTCCTTTTCTATTATGATTTTGGTGTTTTATAAAAAAAATTTGCCTGGACATTCTGGTATTTTTCATTCATTTGAATATTCTTAAAATTATTCATTTGTGATATATGCTGTAAATACCTCTTCCCAGTTATCCATCTGCTTTCTAAATTTTGCATGATTATTTGGAAGGCAACTATGCTCACCACTATACCACCAGTGCTTCACTGCATGATATCTGAAGTTCAGATCTATAATTTTTATAGTCAAAGACACTTATCTTTGCCATTGTTTTATTTTAGTCACTGCTTTTACGATTAGAAAGCTCTTCAATTCCCAATCAGTTAAATATTCACCTACAGTAATAGCGTGATTGTTTCCATTTAATTATCAAATCCAATGGAAACTATATTTTCAACATAAAATATAGACTACTGGTCCACACTGACAAAATTATAGAAATATCACTAGCTTAAAATATTCCCAAAAGGAATATTAATCATTCTTCCAAATGTTTGCTTACATTAAAGAAATATGTTACAAAGCGAAAAAAATTGTGTTCTTTAAAACAAAATAAATTTGAGGGCAGAAAAAAAGTGGGGCAAGTTATCAATTTGGGCTTAAAAATTTGAAATAATAGATACTTAAGAGTACTAACTACTATAGTTGGTCTTGATGATCGTTTTGGTCGGTGATTAAGTAGTATATCAACAGCTCCCACTACTTCAGAGTCGATTGCCACCAAAAGTGCATCTGCAGACTTTAAAAAAAAAAAAGGTTAAAAATGAAAATAGAAAATAAAAAGCTAAACTACCTATTTCTAATAATCCATAACTAAAACTATTTTTAATTTAACTTATTATATATGATAATGCTGAAACTTTTAAAAAGTAGACTATACAAATAGTACATTTTCTTGCCTTAGCTGTACTTCTATGAGCCACAAGGTCCTAGTTTCAATGCAAGAGCTGGTTAAGAACCAATGTTTGATAGGGGTTATTAATAGGAACAGTGTTGATTCATACAATATTTTAAAGTTGATTTTAAAAATTTCCAGATCTTCACTCCTAAACTATGGACTAAAAGTCTTCACATTTTAAATCTACCAAAAAAATTGCAAGGAACTTCTGTTGGTAAAGCTTGATGGTCAGTCTAACAAAAGAAATCTGACCATATACGTAATCATGCGCTAGGGAATAAGAAAAACTATATAAAGGTAGGCAGGACCTTCTGCGTGAATCTTTAAAGCATACAGGGCTGGCCTAAATTGTACCAATTTGACCCCAATATTGGTGATTCCATTGAGTAAAACCTACAAAGACTTATATTTCCATGCTCCTAGGGACAGGAAGGAAGATGAACTCTATAGTTCTAGTTCTACTCCCAACCTATAGCTCATTCTCAGCCTTGAACTCTGACAGTAAGAAAAAGTAACTAGAAGCTGAAGAAATGTGAAACTTTTCAACTTTCTGTAACAAAGTCTACATATAATAAATACTATTGTGATACAGGGCAACAATTACGTCAAATTTATTTAAGACAAGAAATGTGAGGATAAATAACTATGTAGTCTAAGAAAACGCCCCAGTTATTCTCAGTCTGTACATTTTCTTCCTGTTATCCTTAACTATTCAAATCAATGTTCTCTTTCAGAAGGAAATGATCAGAATTTTAATATTCTTTGTAGCTGAAAAGAATAAAGCTTTCATTCACTTTATTTAGATGTCAAAAATAGAACAAAAATGGTGGACTTTTCCTCAATGTCTAGAAATAGGACAAGACACCTCAGAGTTGGAAGACTCATTCAACTGCCCTGGATTTATGAAATCAAGGAAGAGCCTAAGTTTTCCCATAGGAAAAAATTTCTCATCTAAATGGAAAGTTAGGCTTATTGTTTGTCTCCTTATGACTTTGGGGGTTCAAAAAGACTTTTGGGATTCACTGGGCTCTAGCCTCTAATTTAAAGATCTACAATTATTAAGATTCTGCGAGCATTTTTCCTCAGTCTTGCAGTAATTTGGTAGTTGAAGCAAGCAAATGAACAGAGTGTTTGTTGCTACTGGGCACTCACTGTTTTTCAATTTAACCCAGGAAGCTAACTATAGTAATGCCACATCTCAAAGTCAAACATCAGGCAATGCCAACCATGTGCACATGGCCAGGCACCCCAGTGAGAACTATGTAAGCCAAGTACACTGAACTGACACAAATTAATTTATTTCTCTGACATTATTTCTCAGAAGAAGCAAGGCCAAGCACACCGAATTAAAACTGTCTATGAAGGAGGATATCTGGTTTTCCCCAGTACCTTCAGAAGTCACTAAATAAATAATAATAATAAAAAATATTAAAACCAACGTAGGGGAAATAAAAAAACTACTAAAAGTTGACCAATGGAAAGATAAAACACCAGTATAACAAATCACTAACAATGCAGCAGTCCAAAACCACTAAATGCAAAGACAAACATAGTAACAGTTTCCAACCATTATGAAGCAAAGTAAAATAATTATATTCTACTTAAAGTTAAATTATATTCTGAATATACTATTTAGGTAAATAATAAAAGTCATAATTTCTCAATGCTTAAAAGGATAAGCTTCAGTTATAAAAAGTATTATTTATATATTTTAAAGTCATATAAATTAGAATTTACCATGGACTTACTCTGTACAAATTGTTAGGTTATTTCGTAAATCAAGGGCAGTTCTAGAGGGAAAAAAATTAGAAATTATTTTTTAAATGCCTATACAATATATATGAAAATATCCCTACCAGTTTTAGAAGGGGCAAAAAACATTTGAAATTATTTTTAAAATCACCTCTATGTATGAAAATATCCCTACCAGTTTCATTTCCCAATTTCTCACAGACACTTGACCATTTCTAACTAAAATCTGCTACAAAGATGGGCTCAAACATAGCAGTGATGTGAAGATGGTGCAGGACCCAGCAGATTCTTTCTGTACTTGTATATAAGGTTGCTGAAACAGACCTGAACTCAGATGGCACCGAACAACAACAATGAAAACGACCCAAATCATATACTTAGGTCTTTAGAAGGTCCTTTTCTTTCTTCTCATCTCAGGATTTATCTCTTTGACAATTCCCATACTCTTTCCTCTACACTCAGCGTGAGAAGTGACTTAACACCTTTACATAGCCCAATTCTTCATCTGGGCACTCTATTTCACACCACAAGCCCTCTTTAGAACTTTGATCTGAAGAAATACCAGCCCGGATCCCGCCTCCTAAAACAGCAGACTTGACTTGACCCTGTCTTTCTGTCTCTCAAATTTTCTTCCTTTCACAGTGCTTACTTTCTCACATCAGTCTATTTTTCTAATATTACTGAGGCCGCACTTTCCAAGTCCAATGGCCTTTTCTACCTCCTTGTTCTCCTTGATTTCCCGTCGATACACTAATCTTGTTTCTTCAGTTCTCACATCGTAGCACTAGCCTACCTACCTGTAAATCTTTGATATGCAATAAAGTGTAGCTGCTCACTAAAAGAGAATCTGTGTGATTTCCACCCTGCTCCCAGCAGTGGTCATCTCCACATTGATCTTTGCTGACTTTACCTCAGGAAGCACTCCCTAGATATGGAATCTTCATCGTTGCCTGTGGAAGATTTCCTGATCTCTCACAAATAAACATGGCTAAAGCCAGAATTCACATTCCTCTGCCCCAAGCTTGATTTTCTTCTGAACTGCAATTTTGCTTTAATTCTTCTCCTGTTCTTCTATGTTTAAAATTTCCAAATGATCTTGGAATTCCCCACAATTTCCTTCCCTCTAAATAATCACTCACAATCAAGCCACACCAAACTCACTGCCATGGAATGGATTCCAACTCACAGCGACATCTAGGGCAGGGTGGAACTCCCTGGGCTGCCAAGACTGTTCATGTTCACAGGAGTAGAAAGCCACATCTGTCTCCTGTGGAGCGGCTGGAGGATTGGAACTGCTAACTTTGTGGTTAGCAACCCAAAGTTTAACCCACTATTTAATCACTAGGTTCTGCTAATTATTCCTTCATACTATTTCTCATCTGCTACATTATTTTCATTCTTATTACTACTAATCCAGTTCAAGCCATAACCTCTTTTGTCTTACTTTAAAAATTGCTTATCTACAAAGTCACTAGATACATCTTCCTGAAAGATTACCAGTAACATTGTTTACAGGAATCATTTCCTATAATATAAAACAAACAAACAAAAAGCATTGCTAATGAGTTGATTCCACTCAGAGTGACTATAGTAGATATTATGTCAACTAGACGCTCATGGCTTGTGACAGAGTTCAACCTGTCAATCAAGGGTAGTTTGACACCACCTTGGTAGTGTGGCCTTTTGTATCAGAGCAAGATTAGGCAGAGACAATTTCCTCTCTGCTACTTTTGTTTTCCTCCTTGCTGGGATTTCACTGGGACTCTCTGTTATCAGGGGCGGCCTCATGTGGGCCACCCAAGCCTAAGAGTTGTCAATGGTCTGCTGTGTTTCCACTGACCTTGGATTCACCTTGATTCTGGACTCACCAGCCTTTGAGTCTCCTTTCAGCATCATCAGACTGCAGCCAAGTAAGTGTGAGGAAGACCCAGCTAGCATTGGACCTATGGACCTGAATAGATCTAAGAGAGACAGCTTCTTCATGTACAGTTGCATCTTGATAAAAAGTTCTTTCTTGTACATAGATAAGTGTCACTGGTTTGTTTCTCTAGACCACTGCGACCCTATCATATAGTAAAACCCCAAACCCTGGGACTGGCATTCATTATTTTTCCTGATATTTCCACTACTTTCCAAACCAGTTATTCCGTTGTTAAAGGCTAAGTAACTTTACCATCCCAAAAATATACCTTGTACATACTTTTGTTTACATCACTCTCCACATGCTCTGTTCTCTCCTCTGAACATTTCAGAAAATAGATGAAGGTAGGAGAGAAGAGCATGGACTGAGCCAGAATCTAGGTACAAATTCTAGGTTTGCTATTATTGGAATGACTTTGAACAAGTTACTTAACCTTTCTATACCTTGGCCGCTTCTTTCTCTAAAACGGAGAAAACAATAGTATAATACCTTCTACGCTGAACTGCTGTGAGGATTAATTAAGTACAGATATGCAAGTTTGTGAAAACAAAGGAAGCCTTCAATGGGATGGGATCACACAAAAGTCACACAATGGCCACAAATGAACAATCCTAAAGACCAATGCAATGTTTTGTGTTCCTTTACATACAAAGTTTCCATGAGTCAGAGTCAACTCAACAGCAACTAATGATAACAACAACTTAAGGCTCCTGACAAAGTAATACTATCTAAGTGTCAATTATTAATATTTCAAAGTTGAGCTTAACTGATACCTCTTTCATGAAACCTTTCTGGGTAGCCACAATCCATACTGACCTTGCCTTTTTCTACGTTTCCAAAACATTTATTGTGAACCACAAAAATTTAAGTATAAAGTAGGGTTGCTTAGTAAGTGTGTTTATTCATACTTTAGGGTGGATAATTATATCAGCAAGCTAAACAAGCGCTGGAAGCACTCACTTGTGTATTCCAGGAAATTTGGAAGACAGCTACTCTGCCAACTGACTAAAACAGATGCATATTTGTGTCCATTCCAAAGAAAGGTGACCCAACAGAATGCTCAAATTATAGAACTATATCATTAATATTGCACTCAAGTAAAATGTTTCTTAGAATCAACCAACAACAGTTGCAGCAGTACACTGACAGAGAATTGCCAGAAGTTCAGGCAAGATTCAGAAGAGGACATGGAACCAGGATTATCATTGCTGATGTCAGATGGATCTTGGCTCAAAGCAGAGAAAACCAGAAAGAGGTCTACTTGTGTTTCAGTGACCATGCAAAGGCATTCATTCAACTGTGTGGCCCATAATAAACTGTGTTTAACCTTGAGAAGAATCGGAATTCCAGAACACTTCATTGTGCTCATGAGGAACTTGAACATGGATCAAGAGGTAGTTGTGTGAATACAACAAGGGAATATTGCATGGTTTAAAATCAGGAAAGGTGTGTGTCAGAGTGGTATCCTCTCACCATTATTTGTTCAATATGTATGCTGAGTAATTAATCATAGAAGAAGGAGAATGCAGCATCAAGACTAGAGGAAGGCTTATTAACCTGTGATATGCAGATAATACAACCTTGTTTGCTGAGAGTGAGGAGGGCATGAAGCACTTGCTGATAAAGATCAAGAATTGTAGCCTTCAGTATAGATTACAACTCAATGTAAGGAAGACCAAAATCCTCACAACCAGACCTATAGGTAGCATCATGATCAACAGAGAAAAAATTGAAGTTGTCAAATATTTTGTCCTGTTGGCTCCACAATCAATGCTCATGGAAGCAGCAGTCAAGAGATCAGAAGACATATTGCATTAGGTAAATCTGCTGCACAAGACCTCTTTAAGTATTGAAGAGTAAGAATGTCACCGTGAGGCTAAAGGATTTCTGACCCAACCCATGACATTCTCTATTACATCATATGCATGTGAACGATGGACACTGAATAAAGAAGACTGAAAAAAAAGTGATGCATTTGAATTGTGCTAGAGAAGAATGCTGAAAATATCCTGTACTGCTAAACGGACAAACCAATCTGTGTTGGTTTAACGCCAGAGTGCTTCTTAGAGGCACAGATGACAAGACTTGGTCTCACATACTTTGGACATGTTGTCAGGAGAGACCAGTCCCTGGAGAAGAACATCATGTTTGGTCAAGTGGAAGGGCAGCAAAATAGAGAACAGCTTTCAACAAAATATACTGACACAGTGGCTGTGTCAATGGGCTCACGCAAAGGAACAAAGGATGGGACAGGACCACGTAATGTTTTACTCTGTTGTGTATAGGGTCACTATGGGTTGGAGATGACTTGATGGCAGCTAACAACAATCCTTTGCTGTGAGAGCCATCCTATGTACTGTGAGATGTTTAACAGCAACATTTATACTCTAGAGGCCCACTTACACCTTCCTTTCAGTTTCCTTCTTTGGCAGACAATGCCAAACAATCCATTGAGGGTCCAAATGCTCAGTTGAATACTACTAGTATAAAACAAGATAAACTACGTGAAACCTCAAAACAACATACAAGTTTAAGAATACTCATCAGTTCTTATGAAATACACTTTCGTATTATCTAGCTAACTTGTAATTCACAAATACTTTATATGTCCAGTTAGTTTTAAGATCCATTATACAAAACCTACATATCACTTAATCATTTTCATAATCACCTTCAGCAAAAGTCTTTGCACATGTGTTGACTGATAGATAAGACATAGACAACTTGAGACAGAACCCAGTAGATTTGAAAGAGCATGGGATTTGTAGTGAGAAAATAAAGTTTAATTTCTTAGCTTTGTCCTTACTATTTTAGAATTTTGAGCAATTCATTAAAATCTATGAGCCTCAGAGTTTGATCTATAAAATGTAACATCTATATAGGCTAGTGATGATGTCTAAATATGATCATATATATGAAAAAACTACATATATTAGTTATTACTATATATGCACAGACCAATACATAAAAAAGAAAAGATTATTATGCCATACCTTATTTATCAAGAATCAAGGGGCTGAGTTTCTTATTTTCTAGGTAACTGAAGCTTATGCCTTTAAGTATCTAACTTTAAAAACTTTGAAAGTTTAACTATTTTGGTGGAAATCTTTTGTACTATAGTTTTCCTTTCTTTCAAAATAATAAGTAATGAATAGAATTTAACTTTTCCTTACTGACTCTGGATGACTGTTATTGTTGCTTTACACACACACACACACACACACACACACACACACACGCCCAAGTATATTTCCCTCCAATTAATGATTAATGCTAAAGATCATGGTACTAAAGTGTCAATGATATTATGGTCCTTCCATTGATTCTCTAATGGACTATATTAGGAAGTTAAGTAATTGAGTTTGTTATATGTTATTTGCTGGGAATTGGGTAATTATATCTGTTATGTGTTAAGAAATTAAGTAATTAAGTTGGCTAAAATGAGAAAAAAAAATAACCTCAAAGGAAGGCTCCAGAAATACTCTGTTAAGTAAATAAACTTATGCTGAAGACTTTGTGATAACTAGTCCGTCTGCCCAAAGTTACTTTTTATTTGTTTTCTGGTTCTAGGTTGTGTTTTGGATAGCACAGGTGGGTAAACAGTAAAAAAAAATTTTAAGTTTTTTTAAAAAGATTAAGTATATACACTATCATGTGCTATAATACATATATATATAATAGAAGCTTACATGGAACTCATCTACTTATAATAAAAAACAGTGCCACTATATATCTATAGCTGCTGAGTGCATTCTCATGCCACTCAAAAACTATGCCTGGTTAATTTAAAGCCACAACAAAATACACAACCATGCCAGTAAGGGAAGGGTGGTGGTAGAAAAGGCCAGAGCGAATTTACTAGGTCTCATCACAAGTAGACCAAAAGGAAAAGGAAAACAATATTAATACATTTATTTCACTTGATTCTTTCAGTACTCATGTGTTTCACTAGCTTAATTGAAAATAGAAAGGATTATCTTTAAAAGAATGCATTCACCTTTAGTTAGAAGCAAATATTAATTTTCAGAACAAAAATGTATTAAAATTTAGCAGGATTTTCAAACTGAAAATTGATTTTTAAGTCAGGAATATCTTGATCTCATGCCAGCAAATAACACTGGGATGATGAAAAATCTGCTCCCTGGACACTGGAAAGAATACCGGTACTACCTGCAGGTAGTATAAACACTATATAATATAAACTATAAACACTAATAATATAGGTAATATAAACAAAATTATTTTAATAATCCACCTTTATCAGAAGTTTTAAAACAGACAAAGGATGGGAGGGGTGAGAAAAAAAGATTAATAAACTGAAAATTTGCTTCTATTGTTTGTTTATAAAACTACTAAAGTGACTCAGAACTAAACAAAAGGTGAAAGGAAAAGAGGGAAAGTTTAAAAAAAGAAAGAAAGCAGCATAAAGAGAAAGAAATCATGACACATTTAACAGTACTTAGAAGCTGATGGACACAATATCTAGCCTTGTACCTGACAACCGTAGTCCAAAAGAAGCTGAAGTATATCCAAGTTTTCGTTTTCAATAGTTATGGTAACAGCATTTCTCCCGAGCACATCTACGCAATTTATGTTCAAGTCACTTGAACAGTTTTCCTCCAAAATCTTTTTAACCATATAATAGTCACCTAAATAACAATATACAAACATAATTTAATATCCAGGACATATTATTATGTTGATTTAAAATATTAAAAACTGGGCTTATTTTTGTATATGGAAATGAGCAAAGAAAACCTGAACATTTCCCTGCTGAAAACTTATATTCTGCAAACCTAAAAAGCAAATAGAAAGAAAATGAAAAGAACAGCTTGAAATCAAAGACATTTCATTTGAAGTTCATAACTAGATGATTATAAGGAGAGAAAAATTTAAGACATTTAAGCATTTTTAATAAAGGATCCCAAGACACAAACTGGACACTTAAAAAAAGCCCTCAAGAAATTAATTTTTACATCACAGAAACATATACACATTTACTCACATATCACAGTGGTTAAAAGTGAGACCTAATAATACATGGAGGATGTTATAAAATGATTTTATAGGGGAAACAAACATTGGAAAAGTACGAATGTGTATATGGTTTGGGCTGTGTGCATTAAGAGGGAAGGATATCTCCAAATCCTTTCTTCTCCTCTCCACTCTCCCAAGAATCACATGCACATATTAAATCGCCAGAACACCTGGCTCACAAATTCTAAAGCAGAACCAGAATGAATGCTGGGAGAACCGGACGTCAGACTGTTTCAAAGCGAGCTCTTGACGAGTCAGGAGCACGAAGGTTTTTCTCGAGCCCAGCGGTTCTCAACCTGTGGGTTGCGACTTCTTTGGGGGTCAAGTGAACCTTTCACAGGGATTGCCCGATTCATAACAGTGGCAAAATTAGTTATGAAGTAGCAATGAAGATAATTTTATGGTTGGGGGGTCACTACAACATAAGGAACTGTATTAAAGGGTCGCGGTATTAGGAAGGTTGAGAACCACTGTTCCAGCCCTCATTAAAGCAGGTGAGGAAATGAGAACAGCTAGGAAAGCAATCATTTTCTCTAAGGCCCTCAATATGTGTCTGGAGTCAAGCTGGTGGAGAAATAAGAGGGGGGGGGGGATCACAAAATATGCTAATTAAAAGGAGAAAGAAAGCAAACTATTTTAGGTAACTTGCAAGGATGAGTATACTTAAAGAGTTATAGATTTATTACTTAAAAGTCTATAAATGAGAGAGAGAAAAACAATCAGAACAGAAACCAGAAGATAGAGAAAAGTAAATGATTTCCTTATGCTGGAAAGAGAAATTACTGAAGTTGAACTAAAAAGAAAGATGGGTAATGGGTTTTTTGTTAAAATTTCAAATAAAATTTGCTTTTATTTTAAACCAATAGCTGGTGAAGTCCCCATTCACTATAAACAAAGTCAAGAGGGAGTTTCCTTGGTGTCTTTGCCTCCAAAGGAAAACCTTAGCTTCTAGTCACAAAAGAACAATTTCCTACACAGCACTAGTAACTTATAGACACTGTTAACAAGGGAGCCCTGATAATGTCATGGATGGTGCGTTGGGCTTGCTAACTACAGTTTCAGTAGTTCAAAGCCAGCAGCTGCTCAACAGGAGGAGGAGGAGGCTTTCTATTCCATAAAGACTGGCAGTCTTGGAAACCCACAAGGGCAGCTCCACTCTGATGATCTCTGGGATTGCTATTAGTCAGAATCGACTCATTATCAGTGAGCGAGTGAGTGATGGTCCATTAGAAAAACCGTGTATCTAATTCCTATCAAACACTTGACAAAGTGATACTCTTAGTTACAGGCTCAATCAATAATGACTAGACATGTACATCAGTGACAATCACCGTGATGGGGGGAGAGGCTGAGGGGGACCTTTAATACCCGATTTTAAAAGAATCCATTTCACTATCTTAGTGAGAGAATACGATCATAAAAATTCTTTATTTTCTTTCGTTTCATGATATGCCTCAGTGAAGATTTTTCTGTATCTTGTTTAGAAATGATTAGGCTGTATGATTCTGAGGGCATCTGCCTTTTGCTAATTTTTCAGTATTTTTATCCATTGCCTAATTATTCTTCCCTACAATCTTCCTCCTTTTGGTTCCATTTGACAGTGATTTCTCATTCCACTGTCTCTCTCACTCAAGCTTTGTTTTACTTTTAATGTTTTTTCTGTGTTCTGCATAATTTTGTGCTATCTCAGCCATTTATTCCTTCTTTAGCTATCTTTGCTAATTAAGACACTCATTTCCTTATACATTTCCAATGATAATATTTTAATAAGGTTTATTGGATCTCTTAAAATATACCTGGTTTCTTTTTGTTTCACATTTTCATTTCCTTATTTTTTTGAGTCATTAAAACATATATTTTAATTAGATATATTTATTTGTATGTTTACTTATAATTTAACTATAAATATATAATTATTAATAATCTAAATTTTATATAAGGAGTTTTAGTGATATAGTAGTTATGCATTGGGCTGCGATCCTCAAGGTTGGAAAACACCAGCTCCTCCATTGGAGAAACAGAGCCTTCCGCTCCCTTGGAAACTCACAAGAGCAGTTAGACCCTCTTCTATAGGGTCACTATGAGTTGGCATCCACTTGAGGGCAGTGAGGTTTTTGTTGTTAGAAGGTCTTTAATGATAATGTAAACATCTATATTTCTCAGTAGAAGAAAGATGATGCTGTCTGCTCCCATAGAGATTCTCAGCCTCGGAAACCCCATATAAGTTCTGAATCAACTTGATAAAAAGGGTTGTTGGTTGATTGGGGGTGCTTCTCAGAGATTAATACTATGATTTGTTTTGCTTTCTGACTCTTGATAATGAGAGAGTGTTTCCTGAATTTTTAATTAAGGTTTGCTACTCATCTTCAGTGGGGCATAGCTGTGGGAATCTTGGCAGCCTAGGTTTCAAAGCTTGTCCCACCAAGATGATTTTGTATTTGCTTCTGCCAGCTGCCTTAAAGGTTTTGCTAGCCCGAGTCCTCTTCTCAGACTAATTTCGCAGTTAGATATTTTCTGGCCAAGTCCAAACCAAGCCAGTTGCCTAGGAGTCAATACTAAGTCATGAGGAAACCACAGGGCTGAGCAGAACTGTCTTTACGGAAGCAGAGTGGTTGCTGAGCTGGAACCACTTCAAATCAAGTGAACCAAAAGCCCACTGCCCTCAACTTGACTCTGACTCATAGTTTTCTAGGCTGTAAATCTTTTCAGAAACAGGCTGTCACATCTTTCTCCCGCATAGCAGGTGGTGATTCAAAGTGCTGACCTTCTGGTTAGCAGCTGAGTGCTAATCATTGTGCCACCATGGCTCCTGCTTCAGACCAAGTCTCACTGCCATTGACTCACTAACGCATAGCCACCCTACAGGACAGGGCAGAATTTCCCTTGACTTCTGAGACTATAACTATTTAGGAGATAGAAAGTGCTTGATGGTTCCTATACAGTGCTTGATGGTTCCAAACTGCTGACCTTCCATTCACAGCCCAACACATAGCCCAACACTACACCACCGGAGTGCCTTCAGACCAAGTAGGCTGTAGTAATTTGAATCCCAAGAGCACAAGGGGTAGGATCATGGCTGCAAATTCCCAGCATATTTTTTCTCTCACACTAAGCAGTTCTTTTTTCCTCCTCTACCCCTTGCTGAATGTATAATCCTTTAAGAACCCTGGTTTAATGCTTGGATCTTGGTTCTAACTCTTCAATGTACACAGCCTCAAGACTTTGTAATCCATTTATACAAAGGCATCAAAACCCAAATCCCTTCAATGCCCTGATCAGCACCTCACCCCTGCTTATGGGGTAGCTATAGGGTCAGCTTACACTATGTTTTTGCGTTTTAGTCTCTTCTCCACTTTGAACTCTGGGTATTTCACATACTTTCTTGAAAGCTCATCTGTTTATATCTATATGTTTGTTACATTTTAACTAGCATTTCTAGGTGATTTGAAGTAGAATGGTTTTCATATTATTTACTCAGTCATATTGCTTGACAGGTTTAAAGAATGGTAAAAATGTAATTTTTTCAAACTTTAAAACTTCAGGCATAACAAAAGGGAAAAAAATCACTGCTTAAAAAAAAAATCTAGATTACTGTTTAAAAAGCAACTGCTTCCAGCTACCAGTATTAATTGCTCTGACGGGGATCACATGAGAAGGTACTGAAGAAAATAGGAGGAAAATGTGGAATAAAACTCAAAATCATTATAAAAATAGACTGAGCTTACTGGTCTGACAGACTGTTGGGACCCTTGAGTCTGTAGTCCTTCAGGCCTAGAACTGAACTTACCACAAATAATAGACAGGTCTCCCAGGATGAGAACAGTAACAATACGGAGGTGTTCACTCCAGAGACAGACCAACCATTTGAGACCAAAAGGGCAGCATTCACTCAGGGACAAAGTTCAGAAGGGTTAGGAAGGGAGCCATGGAAACAAAAGCACAAGGAGGAAGTAGGATAAGTGATGCTACACCCTGGGGATTGCAATCAACCAACTGCATACAACAAAATGTGGGTGCATGAAAAAACAATTTGCTCTGTAGACTTTCATCCAACCCACAATTAAACAGTTAAAATAAGTAGTACTTTATAAAGTATCAAATACTCCATTTTAAAGTTTCAAAGCTTATTTCCCTTTAGTTGACAATGCAGTCACAGACAGAGCTACAAAGGAAAAAGAAAAAAACAAACCAGAATGTAGTAACCCACCACAATTAACCCCAATGTAACCATAATGTAGTAAACTTAGATGTAGCCATTTTAACAATACCATACTGTATTAATTAACCTGAATGGAGCCATTTTGTATTGACCCAAGTGTGGCCACTTTGTAACTACTGTGATTCCTTTTAAAACTTCTGTAACTGCTGACCAATTGCATTTATTTTTGAAATTGCTGATACTGCTTATAAACCCGTTTTACTTTTATAAGTTGCTATTTTTCTATACAGCATGAGGCTACCTGCCCTTGTGCTTTGTTTATTCCACAGTATAAAAACTCCCCTCTTTGGATACGGCGAGATAGGAACTCTCCTCCACTCTGGTGGTCGTGTGTATACATACAGCCTCTGTGGAAAGGAATATGGTCATATTTCAAGCAAATGGAAATTGAGC